AGTGGTTCTCCCTGCTCCTAATAACTGTTTTCATTTAATACCTGATTGGTATGATTTTTTAAAAAATTTATTGTCAAGATAATATGCAGAGAGGTTTCAGTTACATAAGTAAGGTAATGAGTACATTTCTTAAATTAATTGTACGATTTTAAGATGACTGTGTCAGTTATGTTTTGTATACTAATCATGTGCAGTCTTTTTTAATCCTTTAGATATAGACAGCATTTGTCTTGTTAGGTTTTAATCTATCCTGAAAATACTTGTTTTTTTTCAAACAGTAGACCACTTAAGTTTGTGTTATTATTACTATATTGGGGCTTACAATCTAGAACAATCATTGTTCTTCCATTTATGAATTCATATTTGATAAAAATGTTTTATTATTACATTTTGTTCATCTATTTACTCATTTGTTGCACTTTTTACTTTGTGGCTATTAAAAATTACAAGTTGAGTATTTCATGTCTTTTAAGCTAATTTAAGTCACTGTTTTGCCATTTTCTTATAGGAACTTTTGATTTTAGAGAAACTGATTTCTTTCTAGTCTACCTCAAAGGAAAAGAGAAAAGTATAAAAATATCTACATTAGGTTTCTCTCTCTCTGTTTCTTTCTTTTGTCAGTCATAGGCTTGAATTGAGGGTCTAGGTATTGTCCCTGTGCTCTTTGCTCAAGGCTAGAGCTCCTACCACTCTGAGCCACTTCTGGTTTTCTAATGGTTCATTGGAGATAAAGGTCTCACAGACTTTTCTGTCCAGACTGGCTTTGAACTGCGATCCTTTGACCTTAGCCTCCTGAGTAGATAAGTTTATAGGTGTGAGCCATCAGTGCCCAGCTTTACAATAGGTTTCTTTTTGTAATAAAAATTATAATGCAATATGCATTTGGGTAAAGTAAGCAAGAGAAAGAAAAAAAGAGAAGCTAATGGTTTCATACAGGGTAGGAAAGAGATGAAACAAACAGCAAATAAGAAAATTTAAAGAGCCATGCTCCAATCACCTTGCTACTCAGGAGGCTGAGAGACCTGAAAGTTAAAATGAAGGTTAAAAGTCAGACTTCCAGAAAAGTACATGAGACTCCATCCAACTGGAGACACGGCTTAAGTGGTAAGTACCTGCTGTGAGGAAGAGAGGAAGAGCCCCATGTTTGAACTCTGCTATTGGAATTTAAAACACACACACACACACACACGCACACACACACAGACCTTGTAAGGAAAGAATTTGAGTTCCATAACTAACACATAATAATACAAAATACCTAATTTTCACCCCTGAAAAAATACAAGCTTTATAAAAATAAAGAAATTATATGGTTCATTTGAGGTAACACATAAGTATAAACTGTCTTGGAAGAAAACCAAATGTAGAGTCCTAGAAAATTTCTTCCAATGTTATCCATATGCTCCAAAAGCTAAACAGAACATGGAGAAAGAACTAAAGGAAATACAAAAACAATATATGAATGCAATAAAAATATTAACCAAGAGAAAAACAAAAGTCAAACCGTGGTTGTGTGGCCTACCATACCTGGAATGTTTGTTAAGTTATTAGCTTTCGACCAGGTTAATCTTTTTTTTATATTTATTTTTTATTTTTTTATTGTGAACATACTGTACAGAGGGGTTACAATTACATGGGCAAGATAATGAGTAAATTTCTTATCAAGCATTGCAGTCTCCTCCTTTGTTTACCCTTCACATCCCTTCCCAGACTCCCCCCGCTCCCCCACCCAATCCCCCCCCACACCAAAGTTGTAAAGTTCATATTCGACATGACAACTTGTACTTCTCATTGTTGCAACGGGTCCACCTGTATCCTTAAATGACTTGTTTTTCCCCTTCTCCTCTACAAATTATACCGACATCAAATATAGTGAAAGCAGGGGTTATACTGTGGGGGAGGGACATACAAAGCAACAAAGAAATAATTTTATAAATGCGTTAGAAACAAATGCATGAAAGAAAAAAACATTTAAATACATATCTAAGGGTTCATTTTCCTAACATCACATTATCTGACCTTTTCTGCTTGACTCATACATATACTAGAATTCCAATCTATGCCTCCTAGGTAGCTAATATGACAGACAGGCACCACCATATTTAGCCAGCAATCAGTATCTTATCCTGCTCTATGGCTATCATAATATTATTAATTCCTAATTATATTATAGTTATTATTGATAGCAAAAAAACCAGAAACTTTGTCAAAGTTATGTGGGTTTAGGGGATTATACAGGATATGACTGCTTTATTTGTGGATTTAATACATATGGTTTTGACCAAGCTTGGTTTAAAAAATGCATTAAAAATCCAAATAAACTCAAAAGAAGCTTAAATTCTCACATGTGCATTGCACAGCCTCATGCTTTCATCAGTTGTATTTAAATCATTGGTCATCTATTGGGTATTTCCCTAACCAGAAGAGAGAAAATGTTTCTTCCAAAAAGCAAATGGTACCCCAAACAAGGCAAATGCCAATCTTTCCAATCCTAACAGAGGGCTCATTTTGTGCTATGTTCAGTTGACAAAATGAACATCTTTGATATGTTGGAAGGTGACACAGCTTTACTGGTTGTAGGGGGTGTTGACGGAAAAATGAATCAAACACCGACAATACAGTACTGAATACTATGTGTCCTGTACATTCCCAGTTTTCCCCAAGAAATCTACTATAATTTATTCATGTAAATCTTGTATAATAATCAGAATGTTAATTTTATAAATACCATATAAAGTAAAAATTGCTTATGTAGTTTTCAAAACTATTTTTGATAATTACCTAAAAGGGACATATTCATTAACATTACTAGTTGACATAGGTTAAAGAATTTACTGGAAGAGAGTGAGGGAAGAGAGAGACATGGTTCAAAAAGAAGTACTCATTGCCTGACTCATGTAACTGACACCTCCCTGTGTATCATCTCTACAATCACAATAAAATATATTAAAAATACTAATTTGTTGTAATAGTATAATTTGCCATAGTTCATATTACACTGTATACACATTCTATGATAATGATTTCCATTAATATGCCAGTAGATTCAATGTTAGTTTTCCTCCCTTTTACATTTACTTTTTGGCTTCTCAAAGTTTGGCATTTTCCTCCAAATAGAGATAGAGCAGTCCAGGACGACTCTCAAGAGGGAGAATCAAACTGCTTTCTGACACTCTCCAGTGAGAAGGAATTACAAGTCCCTAAGGGAGAGTGAAACCAAAGGAAAGGCAGAGGAGAATTTCAGTGAGATGAACTTATATACCATTGTTTCTCAGTAAAGAGGAAAGCTCAAATACACCATCATGTGACCAGTATAGATTCTGTAGGTCTCTCTCTTTCCCTCTCTCTTTCTCTTTCCTTCTTTGTCTCTCCATTGTGTGTGCGCACATGTGTGTGTGTGTGTGTGTGTGTGTGTGTGTGTGTATGAAGTTGAAGATATTGCCAGGAGAGGCTCTTTTGAAGATCTCATCTTCCTGAGATGACACATGATCCTGAACTACAAGAAAGACTTCTCGGTCAAGTCTTAGAGATAAAGCAAGGGAGAGTCTTACAGCCTTTGATCCCTGGGATGTCAGAAAGTCTTGGAGTAGCTCATCTGAAAAAGTAACTTTCTCTTTCTCCCCTTCAAATCTCAAGATTAAAGGTATGTGTCATGGCAGATATCGTAGCGTGGCTTTGGGAGACAGCATATTTATGTGTAAAAATGGACGGCTGGTGGTCTTCAAAGCATTTTCCAATTTAGAACAATATCTTCAGATGTTCAGTTCCCATTCCAGATAAAAGCTGAGAATTGTCTTACACAAATTATTTCATAGGAAACTAATGTATAGCTTATGATTGCAAAATGGAGATGCCCCATTATAAACTAAATTTTGCTGGACTATTTTAGAGCAGCACTCAGCTAAATTTTACATCATCATGAAATAATTCCTGGTAAACTGTGAAAGTAATGGTCAATGATAGCTATGAATTTTTCCATACAAATGTACATAAAATATGACTACTGTAGCAGAATTTGTGAGATCATTATTACATAATAATGATCAACATTTGGTTTCCTGATAATAAACACAGCAAAGTGTTTCAGATGATAATATCTAAGAGTATGCTGCATTATTTTCTTCAGTTGTTTGAAAATAAACATTTCATTAAAAAATCAGGAAATAAATATCTTTTGTGGAATTTTCCCCTGGCTTTTTACTCTAATGTTTTCCACTGATGTCCTCCGCTTACAGTTTGATGATAGTTTAAATCATTAAATTATGAATAAATCAGTCAGTAAAGTATAAATCTCATTTGGGGAGAAAGGGAATTTTTTCCCCTCGGAGAATTCCAATACCAGTAACAATAAGTGTGAAATGCTCTGAGCTCAATGCTTGTTGAAGAAATGCCAAAGAAAGCAAGAAATGGGCCAAGGAAGTGAAGAGAAATAAACAAGTATGAGAGAATCTTTAGTTGGGGAATTTGGCAACTGATTAAAGGAAGGCATGAAGGGAGAATTTAGATTAAATGATCACTTTTCCATTTCTTGTATAGAAATGGCAATACATGCACATACATTTATGCACATACATTTCAGAAAAATCACTGAACATCTCAAAAATACCATAGGATTTCATTTGAAGATGTGTGAAGTAAGTGTGGATTTCAGAACGGTTTGTTTTAGAAATATAGGTCCGAAATTTCTCTCACTGATAGTGCAAGAAAAGAAACAGAACAGAAAGGGTGAAATTCAACAGAGTAACAGGCTTTACTTAGGAGAAAATCCTGAGAAGGGCTGCCAAGTCTCCTTCAGCCTGGCTGAAGGGGAAATGGAGTAGTTACCCTGTAACCACTATGGTCTTGTGGAAATATTAGGCAGAAAGAGGGAAATCAGGTGGGGCAGACGGAAGCAGGGTGAGATGGAGGTGGAGAGGATGAGCAACGTGATTTTGACTAATATTTATTTTCCTCTAATTTAAGAATCCTTAATATGACTTTGCTCTTCTCTTTTCCAGGAGATGAGCCTCAATTGCTCCCTGTGGCAGGAAAACAGCTTGTCTGTCAAACGTTTCACATTTGCCAAATTCTCCGAGGTCGCAGAACAATGTTTCCTTCTCTTCACCCTCATCCTCCTCATGTTCCTAGCATCCCTGACGGGCAATGCGCTCA